TTTCTCTTTCAGTTCAGGTTCAGGGACACATGACATGTAAGAAGACATTGTGGACTAATCATTATTGTGGCCTGGGTGTGAATTGAATTTTTTTTTAAATAGCAACCAACGAGCCACCTTCCTCCAATGGTGTGGTCTGAAACCAGCAACATGGTCTAGACAGCAGTGCCTCCACCGCTTGTATGGTGGAAGGAGACAGTCAGATATCACAGACATAAGCTGCAGGCATGTACATCGCTGTAGGCGTGGGCAAAAACTTACGGCTCCCGTGCAACGCACGGGCATGATTCTAGTGAATAAAAAAATTATTAATTCAACATTACAACCTTGAATTGATAAAATATTTTTGAACCCACCAGCAGCAGAATGGCCTAATTTAACCTAGTTCAAATATGCTTGTACGTCACCGTCACCACACTAATGACATTCGAAACAAACTAAACTCGATAATCTATCAAGCCCACCAAAAAGAACAACCCAAAACATTCACTTCTCATTTTTCATCACGTCTAGGATCATAATATGTAAGTCAATTTTACAACATTTCACAAACATGTAGTTCAAATATATCTCATACTCCATAGCGTAGAAAGGAATAGGAGAACACCTCACACCCATTAGGGAGCGGTGACTTTTCATATATATATAGCCACAAGGCCGTCAGTACGTTTACAATTAGACCCCCACAGTTGTAGCAGGAGGATCATGGACGCATAGATTGGACCAAAAATCAGTAAATAATTATACAGGCAGGCCTTTAATCATGATATCCGCGAACTGATGTGAGGGCAGCATATGGAGAACACGAGCTTCACCAAGGGTGACCATCTCACGGACGAAGTGAAAGTCGATCTCGATGTGCTTGGTCTAGCGGTGATGGACGGGGTTTGTTACCATGTATACAGCACCGATGTTGTCACAGAAGACAGCCGTGGCGGAGTGTAGCGGTAGATGGAGCTCCCGAAGAAGCTGGCCCAACCAGCAGCACTCGGTGACGGCGTGGGTGATGGCACGGCACTCTGCTTCAGCACTGGAGCGAGAGACAAAGAAATTTTGTAAGGGTGTGTGCGAGCCTTGAGTGATGGCAGCGGCAGGGCGCTCGGGCTCGCCCTGACTCCTTCCAAAGGGTGCGTGCAAGCGTACCTGATGCGTATAGCCCCCGAGCCATCTTTGGGATCGGTCGGGGGTCCGCCGGTCAGCTTCCTCTTTCCCAGAGACTTAACATATATCCCTATGTTAGACTCTCGTCAATTATCCAATATACTGGAAATGCAACAAAGGTATAATATTTGCAAATATTGATTGTATATGTAGGAAATATTAGTAGTGACGATAAGAAGACTTAGAAGGGTGCCGTATTGCTGTTTACTCGTGCCATGTTTGTCGAGCTAAATACTTGCTGGAACCTTGATTGTCTTATAAAAAAACATCTAAGATAGATGTTACCATTATTGCGTAAGGAACAAATCCTGAATTGTACCAAGCATATGGAAGTAAGCATACTGTTCAACATACTATAAGGAAAAAAACTTATCACTTGGAAGTTGCTTGATTTGATATATGTTAGTGTGTTTCAGAGAAGAAAATTTATCATTTAGTAATTGGTCTATCGTAGTAGATGACTCTTCTAGTGAGTGATCTAATTTTTTATGAGGTTGGTCTTTCCCCAGGTGGTATCTTACATCAAAAGAAATAATTCTTTTGTGGCTAAAGCAGCAAAGCCACAGCTATGTTTGTGAAAATCATGGTGTTCTAATTGCATTAGTGAAACCCCATAGTCTACAGTTTTAGCAGCTAGAAATTTAGAGGTAATCATGGTAACACTTTTGTCTATACTTTTGGGTTGCCTGAACAAACATCCAGTTTTCTCTGAAAAGTTGACAAGGTTGTCTGAATACTAAAGTTCTGCCCGATCTGCTTCTTCTGCAGGCATTGCCCCATCAATTTCAAGAAGACCCGTGAACCCTGACTTTGCTCATAGGTGGCGATAAAATTGCTCAAAAGTGAGGACAGACAGAACTTGTCGACAACCCTAAACCACATCAAGTTACTTCACGATGTCATCAAGCTATGTATGCACCAGATGGCCGTATTGGCTGTAGAGGTTATGGAACAGCATACACAGTTTACTGTGATCAATATATAATTTGGCATGCTGATACTAAAATCTTCTAATCTAAAGTTGTTCTTATTAGAAGACTATCATAATTGGAGTTTGCCCACGGAATTTTCTTGGTTCTCATGATATATTAATTTCTGAGTTCTGCACATCTCCTATCTGCCAAAAGAAAGGCAAGCATTGTTATTTGTGGAATCTAAGTTTTAGGGAGTGGTATAATCCATTAAAATGACAGAGTAGTAGTGTTGAAATATGTTTGTGTTGTGTACAAGAAAGGAAGAATGATTTTTTTTAGGAAATGTGATTGGCGTGCATTCACTAGACATTTTGTTTTCAACAGTCCATTCACTAGAAGGTTAATAAGAAATCAATACAATCTTATTTCGTATAACTTATAGTTTCTAGGATTAGCTACAACCATCAATACATGATGTTTTTTTAAGAACGTCCAGCGAAATACCCCTAATCCATAGTCTCCCCATAATATTAACCAGCAATATATAAACTTTGTAATGCAAAAATGATATATTTGGATTTGAGTTTGAATGTCTCTCTTGTGGTTATGGTTTTTTTATACAAAATATACTATAAAGGAAATTATGAGCCAAAGTATAGTTTTCTAGTTCCCACCGAGACAAACCATGCCTCATATATATGAATGATAAAAATCCATATAGCTCTAGAAATCCAAAGTATTTGTTCGGTGCGCATGCCATCAAGTTGTTTTCATGTTATTGGGTGACATAATTATATCATCAACCTTATTTGTTTGACGGACGTGTCAAAATATTCAGTGCGTTTGTTACGATTCTTATTCACAGAGAGAAGTGCGCATGCACAAAACCCACTGACCTAGTCGCTTTAGAGAACAAGAAAGACTAGCTAATGGTTGTAGTACACAAATTTGTTCGGTGCGCATGCCATCAAGTTGTTTTCATGTTATTGGGTGACATAATTATGTCATTAGCCTTATTTGTTTGTCAGATGTGTCGAGATATTCGGTGCGTTCATGATGATTCTTATTCACAGAGAGAATTGCACGTGCACAAAACCCACTGCCCTAGTTGGGAGATGATACTTTTATTGTCGGGTAATGCCAACCAATCTTTCTCCTACATATAACACATATAGTTCCAGCCCATTCATACTTCCAAGTGAGGAAGCTAGGTGTTTCCAGGATAAACTACTTATCATCATCTGTCTGTTGCCTGACAGCATGCTATTTTTATAAACGTTTTTCCATTGTCTCAGGTCACAGTTACCTAAGAAGTTATAAATAATTCATTTGAATCACTTTTCCATTTGATTTTTAATATATTGTGCCCTGTCCAAATTCTTCAAATTACTCAGTTGTGGTCAAGTAGATGAAAACCAAGAGCCATATTTGGTCTGTTTACAGAACAGGAAATACTGGCTGATGGCTGTAGTACACAAATTTGTAATAATAATACATCACTTTTGATACCAGACACTATATACCACTCTATGTACATGAAGGTCCGAAATAGGCGACTAGAAAGGGGTGCATAGGAGGCTCAAGTTTTTCTCCTTTCAAGAATGAAAGAGCGGGGCCTATATCTGAAGACAACCCATGCGAACCTCTTATGTAGGGCTAGCAAGATCTTGTAGTCACAGCAGACTTAAGGATCCTAAAATCTAGGATAGAAAGATGCAGATGCTGTCGGAGGTGAAAAAGGATGAATTTGAACACTTATAGCAAAGACCGGCTTAGCCTAAATCCAAAACCGGCTTAGGCTAGTTAGGCAGATTTTAGCCATCAACTCCCTGAGAAAATGGTGATTTTTAGATGCTTAAGGTGAATCTATTGAGGGCAATGCATATGCATGTTCCCAAGAACTGTTACCACCTAAATATCAATCAAGAACATCTCCCAAAGAATATCACGAAAATGTTCATGAAATTCATCAAAAGAGGCTAAAAACAAGGGGTTTTGAAGAAGGAAACATGGGAGATTATAGCTTGGCTTCAAGCCATGACTTGACCAAGTTCCAAGGACCCCCAAAACCACTCAAAACACTCGGATATCGGATCAAACATAGCGCTAAAAATTCTCCCTAAAATAACCCCGAAAATAGAGAAAAACACAGATTTTAGATGATAAGAAAGCCACTAATCAAAGTTAGATAGCAAAAAGCTCAACAATAAGAACCTCCCAGTCTCCTCCTAAATACATCGAAGGGTAAAACTGTATATCTTGTTAGTGCAGCAGATGGACCCGCCATCTTCACGACTAAGCTTCACCTCGACAAAAGCTTTGTGATGATGTCACATGTCCTCCAACTCGCCACTCCTGGTTTGAGGCCCAAACAGATCAAACCTACCATAGATGGTTTTGAGGCACAAACCACTGGACCGTCCTTGCTCAGTTTTGAGGACCAAACTGGCAAACCCTCATGCATGGCTTGTTAGGCATGACTCACTGATGTTGATGCATGTCCATTCTCCATATCCTCGACCCGGCAGCAATAGCAGGAGCTATCACTACCGCTTGACGCCAACTACTGAAACCAATTCTTGAATAGTAGGTGGTATGGAACCAGCAGTACTAGATGGTTCTGTAGTAGTGCGACATAATGCGCCAAGACCTTTATCAAGTAATGGCTTGCAGCTCCCCCACCCCCAGTTGCATAACATCATGAACGTCCTCTTCACCTAAACAGTTACTTCTCTATTAATATGGCTATATATAGCATACCCAGTGTATCCTTGGTTATCAACAACACGAATTTTCAACTAATCAGCTAACTGGGGTGAGTTCTTTTCTTTTTGTAAGCTATATCTGTTTTATTCAATATGATTCAATATAATTTCAAAATGTACTAATTATGTCAGAAATTGCAGCAAAACGACATACACGCAGATGAAGCCTTCAACTGTGGCGCTACTCATTTTGATGAACGTGATGTGCACAATGGCATACTTTGATCATGCAAGTTTTCTTGGAGCAAAGGCCGAAGAAACCACCTTGCTTATGAATTCGTATGAAAGCAATGAAGAAACAAGATTTACGAAGGGCATAAATCTTGGAAGGAAGCTGATGGATTCCATTGTTGATTCAAGCCGCGTCTTTTCAGTCAGTGATATCAATCGCATAATGAACCCCGGCCCTCGTCCTTAATTAGTTCATGGTTGCATCATGTATGTCCTTCCACACATATGGAGGACATTATATATATGTGATGTATCAGCCGGTTCTAAAGTCCCTTGTGTCATTTGAGTTTAGACCTATCTAAATAATCTCTGGGGCTCCTGAAATGTGGTGTATTTGTACTGAGCGAACACTCAATATTAAACAATAAATTAAAACATATCCTGTGTGCGATAATGATTGACTCAGATAAATCCATGGGTGATGTTCATTATTGAAGAAAACAAGTAAAAGTGTCAATCAATATATAAGGGCACCTGTGGCATTTCGTATTGTATGTCTCGGAAAATATTCAATATGTAGTGATGTTCAATCAATTTTGATGACTGATCAACTAACTCATTTTGATATGGCGAATTTGAATATTTGTGTCTATTTGTATATGCCAGTAAACTTTGCAGTGCTCAACTGAGATGGTTTTGGATATAGGGTGAAATGCCATACCCTCAAAGGAACATGCATGCAAAGGAGAACAACACGATGAGCTCATTAACGAAGTGCCATGTTTCTATGTCAAAAAGATGGTAATCTGTAACACCATAAAATTTGCATGATTTTAAAATAGGAGAATTTGAATTATTATGCCTTTTTGTGAGCATATAAATTTAGAATAATGATAACCTTGTTAAAGTTAAAACCCAATATAAGGTCTACATACATGTTTGGGCATTCATGCTGATGCATATTTATTTTGTGATGCTTTAGTTTGATTGAAATTTGCAAAAGAATTTGAATTTGATTTGAATTTGGATTTGAAAATGTGTTTAAGAAACAAAGAAAGGAATTTTTCCACACTCTCCCTCCTTTCTCGGCTTCGGGCCCAGCTGGTCTGTCTCCTCCCGCTCGGCCCAGCTGGCCTCTTCCCCGTGGCCACTTCCTCTCCTCCCTTTCTCCTTCTTGGGCCGACCCAGGCCAAGGCCCGCACAGAAGAGCGCCCCGCCTCCTCTCCCTCGCTCTCCCTCGCTGACACCCTAGCCCTGCCTTCTTGCCTCGCTGATGAGTGGGACCCACCTGTTGGACGTCTCCCACCTCGTGCCATCTCCTTTCTCCTGTCCATGCCGGACTCTGCAGCCGCCGCCGAGGAAGTCCGTCGCTATCACGTCTTCGCGTCGTGTCGTGCACCCCATGCCACCGCCTCATAAAAGTCTTCACGCCGTGCTCACAGTCACGAGCGGCCTTGGACCCTTACGGAATAGATGATCACTAATGGTTAATGATGATGAACACGGATGATACTGATGATGAAGATGCTCATTAATGATTAATGTTTATGCTATTCATTATTCATGTTTACCCGATCATGTGTTTATGTGGGCTTGTGAATAAACTTGTTGCCACCCAATTGCTAAAAGATGACTCATTAAAAGCTAATCATAGTTAAACTAGGGTCAGCCTTTTGAGCCTTATGAACCCCATGTTATATTTGTTGAGTACGACATGTACTTACGCTTGCTTTACTTTTTAAATCTTTGGAAAAATCCCGGATGGGTACCAAATTGCTAGAGTTTGGAGGAATTAGGCTTGTGATCAACTAGTCAGTTGTCCCTGTGGAATTGGAGTCTTCACCCGAAGATCAGAGTTGTCTTTCCACTGTTTGCTGTCTAAGGTTATATCCTTTATACTAAGTACATTATATATTGAGCATTGTCTTTCGATATTACCCTTATTTGTAGCTATATGTGAGATTTGACTTTCTGGGCTCACATATGGTGTGTATCTAGTTTTGTTCTTAAAACCGGGTGCTACATAATCACTAATCACTTACTGTTCATGATACGGAATTTAGTTCATCACGTTTTCTATAGTTTTAGACTATGATTTAATTTATTGGTTCCTCCTTTTTTGTCTTAGATATATGTGCCCTACCCCATCATGTAACGAAGAGAACTAAAGCCAATCTAAATGGTCCTATGGAGAAGTAGATTTCCCTTGAGGTGAAAATACAAAACAAGACAACAAAAGTCAAAAATATCCAACAACCATGCCACTTAATTTCTCCTAATCAAAACTGTAGATATTCTATTGGACTTTGAGTCCTTTAGAAGAATTCCGTATCAAATGAAAACATAGCACACGGCACACCTCTCTGACATTTGCACATTATTAATTATGCACATCGCCGTTAGTGTGTGTTGATGTGAAATTAAGGGGGTTAAGTCCCAAGAGGGAGGTCTGCTAGGCTGCAAGGATGTCTTCGCCTCCCTAGGCCATCGACTTGTATGAGCCTCCACATCTCTCGGTCTGGGCGACTAGGCGGCGACCGCAGGCGCTGCCACCCACCCCGCCGCCCTCCCCTTCTCTTAACTCGCCGTTGCCCTGAGCGTGGTCGCGGAGACCCACAAGGATGGCAGCGGTAGGGCCCTCATGCCTGGTCCCCCGTTTGGGGAGCACTAGTCCATCTCCATTGGGGAAGTTCGTCGGCGTCCGTGAGAAATTAGTGGTGGCAGCGGCGTGGTGGCTCAGATCCACACCAGCGAGAAGTCGGGGTCCTTCTAGCATCAGCTATGGCCGTTCAGCGCCACCGCGGCTCGATCCGGCTACCCCTGCCCGGATCCATAGTAGCAAGTGGACGGCAGTGGTGGTAGCGGCCGTGCGTGGCTGTGCGCCTAGGGCACGTAGGCATCATGTGGATGGCGTGGGATACACGATGGTTGTGTAGGCTGCTCATGGATGGCTTGGTCATGGAGAGGCGGCTGCCGCATACAGACGTGGTGATTGTTTGTTCTTGGCAATCGATCCTTTGGTACCCTAGGAGTGGTGGAAGCCTAAGTGTCAGTGCAAGGATCTCATTGAGGAGGAGGTTGATCCCATCAACAGTGGCGGCCCTAGAGGTTGCGGCAGCGATAGAGGACTCCAATTGAGGTGATGACCATCCTATTGATGGCGACTGCCCTTTGGGCGGTCGGGGCCTTAGAATCCGGCGAAGCGAAAGTGGATCCTATTGGCTCATGTCTGATCGGCGAGTTCTAACTGGAGTATGACGGATGAAGGTGGTCTCACCGATGACATGTGGTGTCAGCTCACTTGAAGCAGATGAACATGACAGCAGCGGAGGTTCACAACGTTGGCGCACTAGGGGTGGCAGTGACATGATAACTTCCACTCACCAAATCTTGCCATTTTAGGAAAGTGTCGGAAGCAGGTATGTGCCAAGGTCGTAGTTTTTTTTTATTTTTTTGCTTGTATGTTCTCCTCTTTGTTAAGGTGTCTAAGTGTTCTTGTATCCTTTTGGCTATGTATATCCTTCGTGGATATAGAGACCGGATTAATGAATATCCCTTATCTAAAAAATGTCCCAAGAGGGAGTCTTCCTGGTCATATTTTGCTTAGTTATGGATGTTTTGGGCCAACAAGGACATCAATCCCTTCAATGGGGTCTATGTGACATCCACCCCAATGCAATTTGAATTATGCCTATGGTGACCAATGTGTATACACTAATAAAATATTGTGATGGTTTAGTCCCACGGACATTGGTTATTGAGGTTTAGGTACTGTTGTCGCAAATCTCGTTCCACGCTCAATGGGCTATCACAACCGGATTGAAATGAGCATCACTCGAGGGTTGATTCGCAAAGAAGAAGGGAAAGCCAGCATGCATAGCCTATTTATGAAACCGACTTACCTAGTCTCGTCATATCCATTGCGAAAAACCTAGAAACTCCTCCCAGGAAGGAGCCTGTTGGAACGTGCACCTAGGGTAGTTCTATGTTGGCATGGCCACCTAACATGGGATACATCACAATAGTGGTCAAGGCCTGCATTTTTTCTCCTAGACACATGGGTTGTGATCTAGTCTTGGGATTGAAAGTCATTAGGGTGCCAGGCTTTGTTTTCTTTCTTCACTTTGACTATGTGCTTTGATGCAGAAGCTAGAGGTGGGTTTAGGATTATTGTATCAACTCAATGAATTAATGATCTTGAATAAAATCCTTCCTTTATAAAAAAATAAGCTGAGTCAACTTAAATTCTTACTCGGCCAATCAACCCGAGTGAATTCATTCAATCGGCCAACCAATGTGAGTGGCATTTTCTATCATCCACAAGTGGAAACCTATCAATTGAGACTAATGCACTATCATCTAACAGAGCACACCAACAGTTGGAAATTGCAAGTGCATGCTCATGGAAATTAATAGGCGGAGATCACAAATACTTTCCCTGATCTATCATTTCAAATTGTGCCCTCTACACACCACTATGTGCATATACCATTGTCGCTCATCACCTCCGATCTGCCGGCCCCAAAAAATCATCTTCCCTTCTCTAGCACATGGCACACCTCTGTGACATTTGGCACATTTTTAATTATGCCCATGGTGGCAAGTGTTTGTTGATGTGAGATTAAGGGAGTTAAGTCCTAAGTTGGAGTCTTCCTGGTCATGTTTTGCTTAGTTGTGGGTGTTTTGGGCCAACAAGAACATCAATCCCTTCAATTGGCTGCATGTGACATCCACGCCAATTTGAATTATGCCCATGGTGGCCAATGTGTGTATGTTGATAAAATATTGTGAAGGTTTAGTCCCACATTAGTTATTGAGGTTCGGGTAGTTGTCGCAAATCTCGTCCTACACTCAATGGGATATCACACCCGGATTGAAATGAGCATCACTTGAGGATTGATTCGCAACGTAGAAGCTGTCATGGCCGGTTTCTGAAACCGACTTAGCTAGTTTCGTCATATCCACTGCGAAAAGGCTAGAAACGCTTCCCAGGAAGGAGCCTGTTGGGAGGTGCACTTAGGGTTGTTCTATGTTGGCAAGGCCACCTACCATGGGGTACATCACAATAGTGGTCAAGGCATTTTTTTTCCTAGGCACATGGGTTGTGATCTAGTCTCAGGATTGAAAAAGTCATTATTAGGGTGCCAGGCTTTGTTTTCTTTCTTCGTTTTGGCTATGTACTTTGATGCAGAAGCTGGAGGTGCGTTTGGGGTTATTGTATAAGCTCAATGTAATGATCTTGAATAA